AAGAAGAAAAAGGACAGCATCTCCCCCATCCCTGGCCGAGGGGACTCTGGCTTACAGAGGCATCCAGCAGGTCTAGACATTCTCCTTCCATTGGACCGAGGCCAAGAAGGTGCGGATTTCCATGGGATGCAGAGTGATGGCGGCGGGGTCCAGCAAGGAGGGCATGGTTTGGGTTACAGGGCCTAGGGTGCAAGGGAAGGGGAGGAGTGAGGGGCCACAGACCTTCTTCCTCTGCCTTGCCTGCCACGCTCCCTGCCATAAGCCCAGGCACAGCTGTAAACCCTCAAATCCATGCACAAGGCCTCACCTCCAGACCCTTAAATTGCTTTCCAGAACTGGGTATCACCTCCAAATTCCCAAATGCCTGGCCAGCACCCTCACATCCTCAAACCCCATCTCTGGGATCACTAAGCCTAGTCTACTGTAGACCCCATATTATGCTCCCAGAACTGGACACTGACACTAGATTACAAATCTTATTGTTGCTACTGAACCCCAGTCACAAACCTTCAAAACCCTTTGCGAGTTTGCTGGGCTCACTTCACAACTTTAAGCCTCTACCCTAACCTGGATCTAGACACTGCCCAAGACCTTCAAGATCTGTTTTGGGTCCTGGCCAACATTCCCAAGCCACCCACACAGTCCCAGCTCCTGCCCTGGCCAGGCCCCCACCCGTGTTCAGTGTCCACTGGAGCCTGGAGGCCTGGTCCCGAGGCTCGCTGGCGGCCAGCGTGGTCTCCTGCAGGTGGGTGATGGTGAAGGTTGAGAACAGGTCCTGTGGGCAGCGGGTGGGCCAGCTAAGTAGGGGCAAAGCAGGGTTTCCCCTCTTCTATTTTTCCTAGTCTCCTCCCCACTTATGCTCACCCGCAAGTCCAATGTCACAGGAGAGGTTAAGTTGCCGTCTGTATCCTCCCCAACGGCGAACTGATGCTCCAAGCGCAGCAGCAGCGTCCCTGGGTCCCAACGGGCCAGTGTGAGCAGGTGCACCGCGGGCGGCAGCTCCTGGCGCAGAGCAGAAAACTGCGGAAAACGGCATTGGGAGACTCAGTCAGGAAGGGGCGGGGCTTACCGTGATCAGCTGGTGTGGTTGGGCTGCGGGATGGGGCTTAGGTGATGGGCGGGGCAGAACCAAGACTTGGTTGGTGAGTGGGCGAGAGGGATGGGACTGAACTGAGACTGGGCGGAGCTAAGGTGAGGAGACAGAGAAGGGGGGTGAGCCAGACCGTGTAAGACCCGCAGGCAAGGTGGGATGGGACTAAACTAGGCTGTGTCCTCCTGTGTGGCAGAGCTCAGCCAAGGCAGAGGAACTAGCTCGAGGCTGCCTCCTAACCAGCTACAGGCGGATAGGGTTGTCAAGGGCGGAGCCTAGGAAAATCCGTACCCAATCCGCAGACTTCATTCCGGTCCACCATGTCTATGAACCTGGACCCTCACCTGCGTGCGTGGGGTAGCCCCCAAGTGATAGGGGGCGCCACCTCCCAGGGCCAGCACTATTTGCGGGGCCAGGACCTCCTTTTCTGCCAGCAGTCGGTGCCCGGCGGCTGCAGCCCTCGCTGTGTCCAGCAGCACGAGGTGGCGCCCTCGCACCCAGAGCCCCGGCCCCTGTCCATCTGGGCCCGCTTCCTGCAGAGGCTCCCCTACTCCACGTGCATCGTCTCTCAGCAGTCTTCGATGCACCTGGAGGGAGGGCAGCCAGGAAAGGGTGAGGGTCTGGTTCCTGGGCCAGAAATTGGGTAAGGGCTTGCAGGAGAGTCTGGCTTAAGAGAAATTAAAGGGTGAAGGGAATAGACGAAGATTTCGGTGAGGGTCTGGTAGGAAACCCCTGCGGGAGGAAGAAGGTAAGTACCTAACAGAGGGACTTGGACAGGGCAATTTAGGCCCTAGAGAAGGGCCCTAGTAAGGACTGGATAAAAGTGTGGAGGAAAAGTTTTGAATAGGAATGGGGGTCTCAGTTTACGACAGGGTACACCTAACAGAGAAATGGGACAGAAATAGTCTTCCAGGTCCAGCAGGGGTGAGAACTGAGTGAGGGCTGGTGAGAGGACACTGGCTTGGATGGGGCTGAAACCCACTCACCATGAGTTCCAGGGAGCCATCGCTCAGGCTGCTACCCCCTTGGGAGCGGTCGGTCAGCACTGTCAGCTGCATGTTTCCATCCTGGAGGGTGAGAGGTAGGGGTGAAAGGCAGTGCTGCAAACCATCCCTCTGCTCAGGTCCCAGAGGGGGTGGCAGCACTGCCCACGACAGTTGGGCGATGCTGAGGATGAAGGGAGATTCTCTCTCTGGAGGAGGGTGCCAAGAAGATTTAGGAAGGGGCAGGCTAAGGCTGGGGTGAGGGTAGGAAGTACCGTGATGAAAATGCGGCTGTTAACCGGGTAGTAGTTTCCTGCCACTGGCTCAGTCTGGGTCAAGTTCCAGGTGGGTCGATAATTCCGCCTGGGAAGGGGTTTGGCTCAGTAAGGCCTGGTGTGGCTCCCCTTCCTCTCCTCACCGACTCCTCACTCCTCTTCTTCCTCTCCCTCCCACATTTGTATGATCAGCAAATGCCCCCACCACCCCCAGCACTTGGACCACTCCATGTCCTTGGTGTTCCAAGCCACCCCCACCTCCTCTCCAGGATCTCCCGGCCATTGCTGTCTGTGTAGAAGCGTCCATTCGTCTCCAGTGTCGTGTCAAAGCGACTAATGACCTCCTTTCCCCAGTCGTCACTGCACCCAATGGAAACGCAGGGTTGTGAGTCTCACTTAATGCCCACCCTGGCCTTGTTCCCACCCCAGTCTCAGTCAGGACACTCACCCCACGGGAATCGGCCCCACTGTCCACTCCAGCTCCAGGTACTTCTTTCCTGGATACAGGCGAACCACTTGGGAACACCAGGCTGAGAAGTTCTAGTGCACTTCCTGCACCAAGGCAGTCTGCAGGCACGTGGTGGAGGGGATGGACCGCAGGTGTGAACCCACACCTGCAAAGGTGAGCCCTACAATATCTGCCCATGCTGTGAACCCTACAAAGGCCTCCATTAGGGCCAACCACACTAACAGACAGCAAGGGAACCCCAGCCATGTCTCTCACTTGCCTAGTCATGACTACGCTAATTTTTGCACGTGGCATATATGCTTGTTGACCACCATCACCTCCATCTGCCTCCTTTCATAGTAATAGGAATCTACCTTGGCTACCTGGAGTAGACTATATTTCCCCGTATTCCTTGAAGCTTTGAGTAGCTGTGGGACCAGTCAGTCCAATGGAAAGTGATCAAAGTACATTAACAGCCTCGACCCTTTTCCTCTCCCACTGGCTAAAATGCAACTGTCATGGCTGCAGCTTGAGCAGCCATCTTGGATCATGAGGTGCAAGCTGCAATGTTAAGAGTGCAGAGCAACAAAACAGAAGGGGCCTGGGTGACTGGGGAGCTGCCTCTCCTGACTTGGACTGCTCAGCCAGACTTTATGTTGGAGGGAAAGAAGAGTTAATTTGGATAACTCTGTTACAACAAGCAAAACTATACCCTAATGCAGTGACCTAGGTAATGCAAACACTCATTTCAAGGGCTGATGAGGACGTGTTGACCACAGGCCCCAGGAAACCCCCTATACCCTTGTGGAATAAGCTGTCTTCCCCACCAGATGCACCCTCAGATATGCACCCTAAGGGAGACTTGCCCAAGTGTGAATTCTCAAATACCGGCCCTAGACATGAATTCCTTATACCACATATCCTTGGTGAACTCCAAACAGCTACAACTGACCCTCCCCATTTGTGGGTCAAATGGGAATATCCCACCCCCAATTTCCAAAGCTGAGTATAATCCTGACACCCACAGCAGGTATGAATGCCTTCAGTGTGTGCTTTCTTGGGTACACAGAGACATAAATACCAGCCCACGGGAGGACCCTCAGATATTACTCTCAGATTCTTCCTCCCCTTCCCCTACGCCATACACATGGTCTACCCTCCCTCCCAGGCTTCCTCACACTCCAAACCTAATCTGGACTTCCCACCACCACCTGCCCGCTCAGCATTCCTGGCTACAGACCTTCACCAGGCGAGTCTCAGCCCAGAGTCTCACAGGCAGTGGTTCTGGTTGGTTGGGTCTGAAGATGTAGGCACCTGAGGCCTGGGAGCTTACATTATTGCCTGTACTGGCATTGTACCTGAGGTTGAGGCAGGCAAGAGTGAGGTAAGGAACTCCAGGGCTCCCCTCACATCCCCTCCCTGGCCTGGCGATCCTCCCTCACCAGAAGAAGGCCTGGCGAACAGGCAGCCGGAGGTTCTTGTCCAGGTTCTCCATCTCCACCAAGAGGCCGGTGTCAGGGTTGAATGAAGCCCGAATATGCTGAGCAAAGGTGGACAGATATCACTGATCATCACCTCAGCCAAGAGCAGCTGCATCGTTCCCAGGGCTCAGGACAAAAACCTAGACCCTTATCTCCTTTCTCACTTCTCATACCTGATCATATTAGCAAATCCTGACAGCTCACCTCATCCTGAATGTCACCACTTCGCATCACCTCCACACCTTCTCTGGTCACAGCTGCCACCATCATTAAGCCAGAACTAGTACAGTGGCCTCCTCCTTGGTCTCCCAGCTTCCTCCCCATCCCCCAAGTCTGTTCCCCACCCCCACAGCAGCCAGACAGCAAATCTTAAATCCCATCATGGCCTTCCTCTGCTAGGGACCAGGGCTCACTCTACACCAGACACAGGAGCCTCAGTGCCCAGGACCTAGCAGACGTTAGGAGTTCACAGAAATGTTTTACTTTTAATTGCTTTTGGAATCAGAAGTAAAGAATGTAATTAAAATGAATATATGAGTCCAGCATGGATTATATTCATTTTTATGCCAATGCCATCATAAAATAAAATTTTCATAATCTCTTATGGAAGAAGGGCCCCACAGAAGGCAAAACTCCTAGGTCCATATAAGTCCCAATGGAGTCCTGTTGGGACCCTCCTGTACTTCCTTCTTGGTAAAAGCCAAAGTCCTCCCAACGGCCCTTAAGGCCCTACCCTCCTCTCCTCCCATCACCACCAGGCTCTCTGCTTAAACCATACTGGGTTCCCTGTGGTTCCTTGAACACCAAACCACCTCCTGTCTGAGGGCTTTTGTGTCTGCTCTTCCTGGCCAAGATTCCTCTTCCCCCAAATAGCCACATGGGCTCACTTTCCCACTTCCTCAGCATTGCCCTCAACCATCACCTTCTCAGGAAGGCCCTCCCTGATCCCCCACCTGAAAGTGTAAACCCCCACTGGCCATCAGCTCTGATATATCCATTGAGTGTCACCTACCCATGATCATGCTGGCTCCTCCCAGCAGCCCCGGGAGAGGTGACTCACTTGAGGACACACAATGCTGTACCACGAACCCAGGACCCTCCAACCCAGAGTCCACCTGGCTCACCATGACACCTCAAATTTGCCATGGTGGCAGGGAAGGGTATTTGAGTGGGGTCTCACCTCATTTTGTATGACCAGGACACGGGACTGGGGTCTGTGTTGGTTGATGTGGGCCTTTGGACTCCGGCCAGGCACCCGGGCCACTGAGTAGGTGCTGAAGCCCAGGGCAGGCACTGAGGCAGAGAAGAGCAGCTCTGGGGGGTGCTCCTGACTGTGGGAGCCCGGAAGTATCAGCACCTCGGGTAATGGGGAGGAAACCCAAGTCAAGTGGCTGTGAGTACACATCTGTGGGGGAGCTGAATAGACGGGCAAACTCAAGAAAGGGAAGGATTCCTTGGATGGAGAGAAGATAATGAGGTAACAGGGGCAGAGGGGACATCAGAAATTTTGAGGAAAGAAAAATTCCACTGATGGGCAGGGGAAGAAGTGAGAGAGGAAGTTGGGAAAAGGAGAGCTATGAGGAAGGGGAATCAGGGAAAGATAGATTCTTGGAGAAAGAGACGTGTGGAGGACCGTGTGTGTAGGGAGGGTGACTGCACGTGTGTTAAAGTAGAACCATGCTCCCTAGGGTTTCCAATGGCTGATTTCTTCTTCTTTTTTTGTTCAGATAGAGATTAATAGGCCTTTCTTCTAATGTGCCTCTTAGTGGCCTGGAACCTCCAACCTTTTGGTTAACAGCAGAACATGTTTACCATTTGCACTAAAGGGAGGCAGAGTCAATTTGACAGCAATTGGTATAAGTGGTGTGTGGGATATCATTTGGGGATGAAGAATTGAAAACAGGAAAGATTTTCATAAGGAGTATTAATCAGGGAGAAAAAACAAAACCAAACTCATTGCTGTTGAGTTGGATCCAACTCATAGTGACCCCTCCTTGGGTTTCCAAGGCGATATCACTATGGAAATAGATTGCCCAACCTTCCTTCTGAGGGCTAGCTGATGGGTTTCAACCCCCGGCTTTCTGGTTAGCAGTCAAATGCCTTAGGCACTATGCCACCAGAGCTCCCAAAAACGGAGAAGGAGATACATATGGGGAGAAAGAAGGGGAAGAAATTCATGAGGGGCAGGTACTCAAGGGAGGGAGGTATCCATGGTAAGTTGTCCATGGAGAGCTATTCAAGAGGGGAGGTAAAAATACACATAGAAACAGTTAGTACAAGGGACTAGTAGACCATGTGATCCTCAAATATATGACTACGTGACCAGAAGAACTAGATGGTGCCTGGCTACCGCTGTCAACCACTCAAAAAGGGATCATTGCAGGAAATCCTGCATAGAATTGGAGAACAATGTGGAACAAAACTCAAAACCATTACAAATTAATAAATAAATAAAAGATCAGGTTAGTGGTCTAGTGGAGCCTGGTGAGAACCCTCCAAGACTATGGCCCCCCCTTCAGGTTGGGAAATGACCTCACTCCCGTGGCTTCCAGCCAAATGATACACATGCATATAGGGTGAACATTTACATCAGGTAGATACACACCTGGCTACTTCACCAGCCAGCCAGCCCTTACACGCTACAAGCATTCAATGATGGGAGAAGAGAAGGGCAGTGTTTGCCAAGGGAGACAACTCAGGGGGCAGGAGTGCATGGGAAAGAAGGACACAGGGAAGAGGTAACTACAGGGAGGAAGTAGGAAGAGAGCTGTTACACTGTGGGGACTGAAGTCAATGTCATGAAACAAAATGTGTTTGAACTGCTGTAGGGAAAGGAATTTGCTCTGTAAACTTTCACCGACAGCACAATTTAAAAAAAAAACTAAAAACCAACAGCAAGAGGGGAGGTAATCTTGGAGGGAGGTGTTCGTGCGTGGAATATTCATCCAAAGAGCTCACTTCGCTGGGCACAGTCGCACCATTGGGGTCCCTCACGATGAAAATGCCTTTGCTGACAGGCAGCCGCACCATGGAATCTACCTTCCGCCCCAGGGGATTATAAATGGTGACCTGGAACTGGGGTGGAAAGTTAGGGTGGGTGTAGGTCACTTCAAGCCTTCTCCAAACCCACCCACCTGCAAGGCAATATCCCTGTGCGATGCCAGTGCAGTCAAGGCCATCCAGGCCAAGTGACTTCGTGGTGCACATGTCAGGTTCTGTCCCATCTTGACTGCGCCTTGCGTGATACTGCACCTCTGTGCTCCTTCAAGTATAATTCCATTCCATAACTTCCTTCTAAAGAGCCCCACGCCTGAGCCTGCCCTAGTCTCCACCCAGCCCTGCCTCGTGATCCACCTGTTTAGTCTGTTTCACGAAGGTTCTGCACCTGCAGTCTGCCCCTTCCACCCTCTCCAGCCCCACCCCTCCAGCCTCTGGGATGGGCTCACGCGCGTGGCCGTCTGGCTGAGCGGACAGAAGCTGATGTTGAGTTCGCGGCAGAACGTGAACTTCTCCTTGGAGCCGCTAAGCTGTGCTAGAGCATTGCTCAAGAGCACCTGGGGAGAAGCATAAAAGGGCGGGTCTGGTCTGGAGGCGCACCCCTCCTCAGCCCCTCCCTCATCATTCCAGTGATGCACCCATTCCCGTCTCGGCCCTGCCCTTCCCAGGGTGCACACCTCCCAGGCGCTGGCCACAGTCTATCTTCGCCCTCCTCTCCCAGACCCTTTTCCCTCTGGGCCCCCCCACACACCTCACAGGGTCCCCAACCCTCCGCGAGTTGGCGTGCGTAGTCGTCTGCCACGTGCTGCCGGGAGGTGCCGCTGACCGCGTCGTGGTGCTGGAGCACAGCCATCGCCTCCCCTAAGGGGAGGGGGGCAGTGAGCTGGGCGGCGCCTCTGCGGGATCCCGACCCGATCCCAGGAAGGCAGGGATGGTCCAGTGCAGGTGGGAAGGGTTTGGAGCCCCAGTCCCTCTCCTCGCCGGCCCAAAACCTACTGAGGGGCGCACTGTCTCCGGAGCCATAAGGTCCCGCGTTGGCCACAGGTCCTGCCAGCGCCTCCAGCTGATTGCACACCTGGTGGGCAGGGATAGGGTGCCATAGGCAAGCCTGCCTGGGACCCCTGGGCCATCCCTTGGAGCCAGTCACCCTCCTACCTGCAGGAAGTTGTAGCTGAGGCGCTCGTAGCGTTTAAGGGCTGGCCGGCTGGTGAAGTAGCCAGTCCAGAACTGGTGGGGGCCATCGGCATAGGGGAAGAAGTCGTCCTGTTTCACTGACCTGTGGGGGCGGGGCATTGAGGGCAGGGTCCTGGCCCACGGCGCATCCTAATCCCCCCAGACACCCAGAACCCCAAATACCAGGTCAGGTTGGCCTTGTTCAGCTCCCAGAGGTAACAGGCTGGAGTGGAGTAGAGAACGTGGACTTGGCTCCCATTGGCCTGCTGTTGTGGGGGAGGGGAGGGGGAGGCTTCCTGGAGTCTGTGTCTTCCCAGAGGACACAAAGGTGTGCAAAGGCATACTTAAACACGTGTGGCACACTCACACATCAGTTGCTCTTGTTGTTGTTGTTGTTGTTATGTGCCATCCAGTCTGACCCAACTCACAGCGACCCCTCCTTGGGTTTCTGAGGCGTTATCACTACAGAAATAGACTGCCTCATCTTCCTTCCAAAGAGTGGCTGCTGGGTTAGAATGACCAGCCTTCTGGTTAGCAGTCAAGTGCCTTAGGCGCTACACTACCAGAGCTCCCCAGTTGCTCTTAATACACTTTATTATTATTATTATTATTGTGATTTGGGTGAAAGTTTACAGAGCAAATTCATTTCCCATACAGCAGTTCATACACATTTTGTTTCATGACATTGATTGCAATCCCCATAATGTAACAGCTCTCTTCCCACTTCCTGTGGTTTACCTCTTCCCTATGTCCTTCTTCTTAATACAAATGTTAAGTGCAAACCAATAGCCAAGCATGAAAACGAGTATGTGGCCAAAGCCAAATATTACCCTTCTTGAAAGAGTATTAGGGATGCAAGAATAAACTAGAAATTATATGAAACTTTAAAAAAATAATTTCTACTGTATTACTGGAAAAAAATATGACATTATAACTAAAAATGAAGGCCGCTGCCATGGAGTCAATTCCAACTCATGATGACTTCATGTATCAAAGAGTAGAACTGAAGCTCTGATGGCATGGTGCCTAAGGCATTTGACTGCTAACCAGAAGGTTGCCAGTTCAAATCCATCAGCCACTGTATGGAAGGAGGACTGGGCAATCTACTTCTGTAAAGATCTACCACCTTGGAAACCCAAAACAGGTCACTATGAGTCAGATTCAACTCAATGGCATTAAGTTTGGTTTTTGTGTTTTTGTTCCACCCCAGCCTCCGTGACCCTGAGACTAGAAGAACTAGATGGTACCCAGCTGCCATTCCTGACTGCTATGAAAGGGATCACAATAGGAGGTCCCAGATAGAGTGAGGGGGAAATGTGGAGAACTCATAATCTTAAAAAAAGACCAGGCTAACTGGTCTGATGAAGACTGGTGGAACCCCCAAGACTATGGCCTCCAGACACCCTTCAAGCCAAGAACGGAACTAAACCCCTGTGGCTCAACTTTCAGCCAAGTGACAGGCCTACAAAATGAACAATAATACCAGGAAGATACGCACTCATTCCAGAAAATCAGCCATAGGAGATCAAAAGGGCAGCATTTGCCTAGTGTAAAGGTCAGAATGCAGGAAGGGATAGGAAATAAGGACAGGATGAAGGGAAATGGTAAACACAGGGAAGAAATGGCAAGAGTACTGTTAGAATGTGGGGACTGCAAGGAACCTCACAAAACAAAGTGTGTAT